GCCACTGGCCTGAGACAAAAATCAGGTCCAGCGTGTGTCCACCCGTGTGAGTGGGGGCCTGTATTAATTGGGTCAAGTCCAAGGCCGTCATGGAAGCCAAGAACTCCTGAGCTGCCGCTGACGTCTCCCCCACTGATGGCAGGTTGAAATCCCCCAAGACCATAAGTCTGGGGGTCCCAACCGCCACCCCGGCTATCACATCAGCCAGCTCAGGCAGGGCTGTTGATACATAGCAGGGAGCCAGGTATATAATCAACAAGCCCACTTGCACCCCTTGCCCCCATTTCACAAGGAGGGACTCCACGCCGTCTATCTGAGGCACAGTGGTCTCCCTAGGACAAAGGCTCTCCCTTATAATGACCGGGCTCTTAGCTAGGGCTTATTTTTGGGGTAGGACCTATATTAGGCGCACAAGTAAAAATCAAGCTAGGGCTTATTTTTAGGATAGGTCTTATTTTCGGGGAAACATGGTAGCTGTTCATAATCTTTTGTTGTTGTTTTCAGATTCATTGTTGTATAATTGGTCCCCACACGTAGAAGAAATGGGTAGTAATCCATGAGGTTGATTATTTTAGTAAGGAACTCAGTTACATCTTTGATTTTTGGTCCAGGGAGATAATATACCTCCCTAAGTTGACTGTCTTTCTGACTATTGTTTCTATTTCCCTAATAATTGAATCTCCTATCACCAATATTTGCCCTTTTTTTCCCTTAGGGAAGTCTGGGATACTTTCTTCCTGTGGCAGAATGCTGGGTTGTGCCTCTTTTTAAAAAACTATTGATGAATGCTCTTTTATGGGTGTCTGCATATTTTCTTCCAATCATAGTACCTTTTCTGCAAGCAGTGAACTTTTAGAAATAATGAACATTCATCATAGGATATTAAGATAATACTTATTTCAATAAGCAATCTGTAGTGACTAATAAGATTAGATAAAAAAATAAAAAAGGATCCTCCCTGACAGCAATGTCATGCCTATCATTTGGATGAGGCCTTGTGAGATGTACAAATGAAAAAAATTCAAAATCCTGAACTGTCTAACTTTGGATGGTCAATTGCAGGCCTGTGTATTGTTTGCAGAAGAATGATTTGTTGCAATGAGAATCCCTCATAGGGAGGGAACTTAGTATTTCTTCTTAAGGAGGAAGAAACATGGTCTGGCAGTCTTTTAGCTAGTAGTTTAGGAACAGATAAACCAGTAGACATCAAATCAATTAAAGCTATAACCCTATTTAGAATTATTTACAACATGCCTTGTTGACCACAGTTGACCTTGTTGACCACAGTGCCATCTTCTGAGAAACAACTTTAATAGAACTTTTTTCAGATAGAAAAGGCAAGCTTTTTCAGGTCAAAGACTGCCCTAGGAAAGTGACTATAATTTCAAGAGTTATAGACAGAGGTACCTTTGAGGTATGGTTAAAAAATCAAGATGGCTGCCATTTGACCATCAAATGTAAAAATGGTTGGAGCTTTGATTCCACTGGCATCATCTTGACTTTTTTTTTAACCTTGTCTGCAAACACCCTTAGACATGGAAGAGAAGCAGACTACACCTGCTTTCACAGGACTACTAATGTTTCTTAATGTTTTTAATGGATCAAAATTATTTTTCAAAGCACTGAAGTAATCTTATTAACTCTGTTGCTGGGTTTTGGAAGCCATAAAATGGTTCAAGGGTGACTACTGAATGTGATTACACATCCTTGCCTTGGTTTATGAGCTTCCTGGCATTTTAAATATAAAAAATCAATTGAGACATAACATTTTTATGATCTATGATTTAACTTGTTTTTCTGCAATTGCCCGTTCACTTAATGGCCACAAAAATATGTGTCTGACAGGGCTCTGTTATACCATTTTCCATTCTTTTTTGTTTTACTGCAATTTGAGATGTTTCCTTGTGGTTTTCAGAGCTGTGATGCTACAACATTTCTTCTTTAGAATTCTGAACATATCTGATCTTATTCTTAGCCAAATGCTAAACTTACCTAGTTGGGTGTGGTCATTATGCTATACAACTCATTGCTTTGTTTCCAAAATAAGAGCAACAGTGCTATATTTAAAGATGGAAAGTCTGGAGTGGTCTGTAAGCTGTCTGAACAATTTTCAAGAGAAACAATATGTCCCTGCTCCAAATGTGATTACACTGTTGTAATGGGGATTTCAAATTGGGTTAAATGCAGTATTAGATCTCCCTCACAAACACAACAGCTGCTGTTAGCTTGAGTATCTTTTGAGAATTGAAGTAAGGAGATTTCAAATTGCTTATAGGACACATTCATAACAATGATACTGCAGAGTTATATCACAGACTGACATCTCTTTTTATAATAGCAAAAAGCTTGAATGGATTATTGGGGTTTATGAATCTGTGAATGTAAATGGTGCTAGGACACAGAGACTGAGATGCTATATCTTTAATCTAACCATCAGCACTACAATGACTATTTGGTATGGCTTTTATCACCCGCAGATACATATCCTGGTAACAACTAATATGCGGAGTCTTTATGCTGTCATGCAGAGATGGCAGAATGCGTGCAGCCTTAGTTATGAAGCTTCTTATCTATAAAATTATTAGGGGAAGGAAAAACCAATAACTGTGAGCCAGTGTTGTCATTGGTTAAACTGCTATTTATAGCTGTTATACTTATATTGAATAAATAAATGTTATGAGAATAAATAGCGATAAGTGAACCCTTTTTCTTTAACTGGATTTACTCTAGCTATTTTAATGATTGAATCAGTGTAGTTTTTGTTATAACAATATGATGGGCCACCTTATAACCATGATTGAGATTAAAAATTGCATTAGGGTAAAAAAAAAAACTAGTTTTGTATAGGGAATAATTTTTGGAAAGATCATGACTTGAGCATCATATTTAGATGTTCATGACTTATTTTATTGCTTTACTACAAAAAATGTGCAAGTTTTCTATATATACCATTATCATAGATTCACAGATACTTTTCTAAGCAATGGTCAGAGATTTTCTAAGTATGGTCAGCTTCTTTTCCAGTTTATCTCCCTCTGTATAAGGAAGGAACATGAGGCAGTGTCATGATTCTTTCTTTTATAGTTCTCAACATCCCCATAGGCAGACGCAATAGCATAGTAAGTGCCTGAGAAAATCTCAGAAGATACATTTGTATTTGGGTCCTTTACAGAATCAGTAAAATTGTTTTCAACTTTTCCAGAAGCCAAAATTAATGAAGCTGTTGAGCATTCTGCAAAGTTATTCAGTGCACTGTGCTTTTGGCTGGTGACAATATTTATCAGAAAAATTTAAGTTCCACAGTTATTTCAAAGCTACTGGTTTTGGTAACTTTGCACCAAAAGTAGAGAATCAACCTAGAACTAAAGAGAAATTTTCTGTCAGTGAGAACAATTAACCAGTGAAACAGCTTGCCTTGAGAAGTTGTGGGTGCTCCATCACTGGAATTTTTAAAGAAGAGACTCAACAGCCACTTGTCCAAAATGATGTAGGGTCTCTTGCTTGAGAGGGGGTTGGAATAGAAGTCTTCCAAGGTCTTTTCCAATTCTGTTATTCTGGTATGTTATTATTTACAAAGAGGCTTCCTGAGGATTACTGAAGGACCTCACAAATATATGGATCTCCTTCACCAGGAAAAAATGGCAGAACAATATTATACAAAACTAAAAATACAAGTTGATTTCAAGAAATAAAAGTACAAAGTTAAAATGATTATTTACAATCAAACTTATCAGGTACTACATCTAAAAATAAAGGTCTCCCCTGACCAGTCTCCTTTTCTTAGCCAAGGGAGCCATCTTTGTCTGAAGACATTTCTGTGGTCATGTGGCCAGCATGATTATAGGCAGGCTCACAGAACACTATAACCTTCCACCAAAATGATACCTGTTTATCTACAAGCATTTGCATGCTTTTGAACTTTTAGGTGGGCAGGAGATACTACATCTAAGCTTTTTTTAACTGAAAATGTTTTGTTGTCTTTGATAAAGTATGTTTGCATAATCATAGAGCACCCTAAAAATGGCTGCATGAAATTAGACTGCCAGCTTTTCAGGAATATACTGAATTATATTTGTAGAGTATGTACTATCATCACATTAAATGCTATTCTTAAAATCTCTATTTTTTGTTGTTTTTTGTACCTGCAGTTGTGTGCAACTCTTGGAACTACAACATGCTGCTCCTTTGACAATCTGCTAGAACTGGGTCCCATTTGTAAGTTAACAAGTGATCATTTTATCTGAACACTAAAAATCTGCTTTTGGTGTGTCTGTCATATTGCATTAAGTCCTTTAATGGATTTTGAGTAAGAGACTTGCTCAGCAGAAAAACTTGGTATTCCTGCACAATTTAATTAGACAAATACTTTTGTGGCATCATTTCTAGAGCTGGTTGAATTTTTTAGCTGGGAAAAACTTATTTTACTCATTTATATGCCACCCAATCTCGAATCAATTTCAACATTTTAATACTTCTATGTAAACATTAAAAAGCATATATATGAACCTATGAAAATCAGAAATGTAAAGTCCTTAGAACTCTAGAAGTCCAGACAAAAAAATTCAGTACTCCTCTCCCTCCTAAACTTGGAGGACAATGACTTCAATTCTAATGTTCCATGATGAAAGCTCCCAAGAAAGCCATTTGGGGGTGGGGTGTCATTCACTGAATATTACTCATGATGTACAAAGTATTGAGCAAAATGAACCCACAGCATGTATGAGTTCCATAATATTTCTTTCATATAATCTTTTCTCTAAGTGGTAAATTACAGCTACTATAGATCACTCCATTCTTGCTAGGCAGACTTGAAATACTATATATTTTTATAGTTGTAATTTAAACTTTCACATTCTTCTTTTTCATCACAGTAGGAACCTATGTTCTGAAATTTTATCAAAGGTTATAATAATAATAAAGTTGGAAGGGACCTTGGAGGTCATCTAGTCCAACCCCCTGCTCATACATATAGCATTTATTAAGCTTAGTTTTACTGCAATTATTTAGCAAGATCATATGCTCAATACACAATAAAGAAAACAATATAAAATTAAAACATATTTGAATACTGGTAATCCTCAACTTATGATCATAACTGAGCCCAAATTTTCTGTTGCTAAGCAAAACAATTGCTAAGTGAGTTTTGCCCCATTTTATAACCTTTCTTGCCATAATTATTAAGTGAACTACCGCAGTTGTTAAGTTAGTAACATAATTGTTAAATAATCTGGTTTCCCCATTGATTTTGTCAGAAAGCAGCAAAGGTGACCCTGGGTCACTGCAATCATCTATAAATATGAGCCATTTGCCAAGCGTCCACATTTTAATCACATGACTTTGGGGATGCTACAAGGTCATAAATGTGAAAAATGGTCATAAGTCACTTTTTCAGTGCTGTTATAATTTTGAAAGGTCACTAAATGAATGGCTGTAAGTTGAGGACTATCTGTACATGATTAGAATAACAACAAAACACAAAATGCCTATTTTTTCTTGTTGATCATAGTTGGGATTATCTCCTGCCTGAGAAGGCTTAGGTTTAAATGTGCTTTAGAACTATGTCTTCTAGATTCTGATTCTTATTGCTCTTCTTATACCATTTTTTGCTCTTCCGATTGCTCACTGTTTGCTTTTCCCCCAGCCTGTTGGAAGCAAAAAGGAAATCCCTCCCATTCCCCTGCCCTCAACTATTATATACATTTCATGGCTAGACTCAGCACCAAGCTTCTTTTTTTAAGATAGAAAATAAATTCTTTCTTTTTCCTTGCCTCCTTCTTATAATGTGACATTAGATCAATGTAGAGGAACCACAAAGGACCCTCAAAGGATAGCATCAGCTGTAACAATCACTGCAATGGCTTGTTTATATATGAAGGCAGGCATATATTTGGAATAGTACTCCATTTCTGGCCATTATCCATAGTCAGAATCTTGAAATCCAAATGATGTTTTTAGGGATTGAAAACAGAGATATATCTGTCTTTGGATTTAATTTCAAAGCTTTGATTTGATTGCAGAATGTGGTTCAATATCTGTGAGGGACCAAACATAACACCTAATGGGTAAAAGTGTATAGTGATATATATTAAGACACATGCACACAGCATAATCTATGGGATCCAAGTTGATAATGACTGATCAGAAAATGAATCTTGAAATCATGTTTGAATGAACATGTTCATAGGATGCACATATGTATTATAAATTTATAATTTTATAACAAAATTTCTAAATCACCTAATCTTTAAAATCATAAAACACCTCAAAATCCTGTATCACAACACAGTATAATTAAATCTAGGAGATTCAATAGAATTATATTCACTGAAGAAGTATTCCATCAGGAAATCAAAAGCTGAGAAACTTCCATAGCCAGGGGAGGAGTCCAGATAATCCATCTTTTTCAAAAGCATCAGACATTATACAGCTACCTTTATTTGGCACCTTTCCGAAAAAGGGACATTAATAACTGGCCAATAGTTGTTAAGAATTAACAGTATAGAGTACATTTCAGGACAATGAACAGAACTTTCTTAATTTATTTATACTACCTTTCTTAGACAGCTGCTTCTATAATTCATGGGTAGAATTCAGATTAAGTTGATTATAATCAACTCTCTTGGGAAACAAATTAAATAAATGATATCTAATAGCCTGATGGATTTCAAAGGTTCACTTTATGAGTATTAGGCCTTTTCTCTATTATCAAGCTGTTTTACTTTGTACCAATCCTTGAGCACGCAGATGTTTGTACTAGCAAAAATGTACTTTTTCTCATGTTCATCTGATCATGCATCTGTAGCCTTCAATCAGGCTTGTCACTGGATGGTGGTATCCTAATTTTGGATGTGAAAAGTGTATTCAGCTAGACTATGGATTAAACCCTCTCTCTCTGACTGTCACCAGCCAGCAGGGAACCATTTGCCAATTGCATTAAGAAATGGCTAGTTCTGTGTCTCTCCTGTTTTATGTGGAGCAACTCCCAAATGATCATTTCCCCCACCTTTGCAATAATTTAATAAGGTAAAATGTATTGCATCTAAGACATTTCTTTTTCTAGGTAATGAGGAGAATATTTGGATGCATATTGATGCAGCCTATGCTGGGAGTGCTTTCATCTGCCCTGAATTTCGTTACCTTCTCAATGGAGTAGAGGCAAGTCAGAGTTCTATAATTCAGAATGTAATACACCATTTAGCTGATGCTTTTAAAGTCACGTAAGACATTATGTTTGGTATTAACATAAGTTCCTAACATACCATCAGTGATTCTTAGTAACATGACCCATAAATGAAATAAGTTGTAGCAAGCCACTGATTGCTTTGACTTCTGCCCACCAAATGCTAGAAAAATAAGTCCTACATGGTTTAGAAGAGCTATGCTGTCTCTTTGATGTAGATAAAATAATAGCAGAGAAGTGCTCTATCTAGGCTATTCTTTTCATCTTGGAATAGGTATATAATTAAACTGTAACCCAGATTTAATATGATTTATCCCTAGTTTTTCTCCATAAGTTCCAGCTATTAACTTGTCTTAATTGCCTTTAGATTTCTGCTGAATCAGCAAGCTGATTGGGCTCTTGGGGCAAGGAAGAGGGTCAACTAAACAGGTTACACACTAATCAGAATTTTAAATATTAGTCTCTTTTAAATAAACAGCAAATAAATAGGTAATTTCCTAGAACAAGAACACTGGGATGTTCTCTCACTTTGGCTATTGAGGGGTCCTTGGTGCTCTCTGAGCTTGCTTATTTTCTTGCAAGAAAACAAGCAAGCTCAGAGAGCACCAAGGACCCCTCATTTCAACCCTGAGTTACAAATATTCTCCTTCATTGGTACTTTGGCTATTTTAAGAAGGAAATTAACAGATGATATGCCAATTGTCATCTTATACTGACCCAATCACTCATCCATAACAGCATATATTCAATTCTAACAGACATTTGAATGGGCTATTTAATAAATGAGGTTGGATTTCTATAGCTCTGAACTCCACACCCCATCTGCATTCCTTACTGCAGGGTAACATTGCTGAAACATCCTTCCCATCTTTTCTCTAATCTAAGTCTTTATAATGTGGGTTTTAAAATCTACAATTACTGTTACTGTATTAGGATTATACAGGGTATTCTTACCCAATGGAGAGCAGTGCAATCTCTCTCCTGAAGTGAAAAAAAGAGCTTTCTTTGTTCCAGCAGAGTGATCCTTTGTTTATGTGTTGTGTATGTGCTCTCTGTGTTAAGAGCAATGGCTATGTGTGTGCCTATATATCTGCTGTTCTCCATTTGAATTATTTTGGTTCATATATTTACATATGCATGGCCTCTATCAATTACCTAGAATTGCAGCAGATACAAGAATAATGGATTTCACATTTGGCAGTAATGTGATCACTATTGGTTCTGCTCTAAGACCTTTTTATCTGTTAACTATATTCTATATCTTTTAGTATTGGAACAAAGAGATTCAGCTTCTTGGGTATTTTTCACACCTGCTTCTTGACCAGGATACACAAGATCTGCTAAAAGTGATACAGTGGTACTTTGGTACTCATCATTAATTGGTTCGGGGTGTGTGTGCAATGAGTACCAAAAATGATGAGTACCAAACAATTTTTTTCCATAAGGAATATGGAAATAATAAATCATAAGGCAGCTGACACAGACAAGTTTTAGCTTATGTGTTGAGTACCAAACTATGAATACTGGGACAAATTTTTGTGTCAAAATGCATTAAGTACAAAATTTGATGAGTTTCAAAGCAGTTGAGTACAAAAGTACCACTTTATTTGGAGAATGAAAATGTGGTCTTACTGTAAAAAAGACATGCAACTGAAGTGTGATTGGTGAAAAACAGATAACAAAGAGATGTGCTCCCTCTTCTCTTGTCTATTTTTTGCTAAGGCACTTCATCAATAAAGTGTTTAACAATTGTCAGAGGTTGGTATGCATCCTCCCCTCCAGTCCCCGGGCACTGGTCTCCTGGCAGTGGGGAAATCTGGTTCTTTAACACTGTGCTCTCTCCCATACTGGCCAGTATTTCAACTGATTTCTGTCTACAGAACAGCTGCTGGCTAGTGGAACCAGGAGGAAGTGGGATCAGGGGAATCTGTCTCATATTTGCTAATATTACATGTAAATCTTAATATGCATTATTAATATTTAGGTGCCAGAAAAGCTGTAGATTGTTGAGAGATTTCTAAAGAAATGCTGAGAAATATGTTTCTCCAGGGGGTTATAATAAGATCCCTCAATTTATCTCTTAGTTGTTTTCTTTATCCTATTTTTAAAATAGGGAACTAAGATTTAAAGCACTAGACCTTTGTTTGAAAAGAAGCCTGAAAAACATTTAACAGACATGTGGGAGACATCTTATATATGGTGAAAAGAAAAGGAATGATCACCCTGCATCCATCCGCTATCTTCCTTGCTGTCAGCTAGGCTACTTTAAACATGGATTCAGTGCTCTTTTCAAAGAGCCCAAAATTCATATTTTTAAACAGTGAAAATGCTTCTCTTTCAGAAAAATGGTAAATATATGTTTAAAAATAGCTCCTTAAATAGTATACTTTGGAATGGACATGGTAAAATAGAATCTCTCCTATTTCTCCATGCTTTTTCTAGAGCATCTGTTGGTTGTTTCTTGGGCTGGTTAACAAGGGCTGGCAGATGGACTCTCCGGTTCTCTTGGGATCCTGCTCAATTATGGCAGTTTGCTGCCAAATCTGGTAGGAGTCATAAGAGGACCTGGGGAGACTGCTCTTTACCCATTACTGATCTTTTCACAAAACTCTCTTGCCAGGCTGGGGAAGGGCCTTTCCGTCACTGTCTTGGTATTAAATTGTCTCAGAATCCATGGGCATAGCCTTCTATTAAAACTTGCTATTTCTCTTACCTCATGTTAGGGAAGAAATTGATGGTTCATATCCTTACTACTGAGTAACCTTTTTCGATTGCTCATCCTCTCCAGCTCTGGAGGGCAGCAGAAGAGTCATTTGAAAAGTTATGTATGTGCCTGACTGAGAGGTTATCTAGTGAGAATTATGCTATATGGAAATGCCCCTTTTTGGCTGATAGATAAAAGAATCATTTGTGAGTACAGAACCTTTGGAGATAGTTGTGTGTTTCTGTCTTTTTTTGCCAGCCACAATCCTAAAGGAACCATAAATAATCAAGAACACTTTTGGGTCTTTTACTTGACTAAAGTAAAATAGAAATGGAACCAATCAATCAATAAAGTTCTTTTGATGTTTCCTCTATTCAAAGGGAACAGCAAAATGAAGTGATGAGCAAAGCTGACTTTCCTTTTTTGAATAGCCCTACAGCTGTAGATTGATACTGCAACTTATTTGAAATAATTCTGTTTAATTATCACCTTTCCTACCTGCATTTATTTGAAAATCAAGGTAGAAAAGTTCTTGCTTTGTTTCTTCAGTTTACAACAGAGCAAAGATGAGAAGAATTTGTTTAACATTCTGTGTATAATATTTTTCTTTTATATTCTGCCCCTTTTTCAATAATGCCTAGTTACTTTCCCTGTGCTTCCTTAGATAAGGGCAATGCAATTTCCTGGGTCTCTCTTCAGCTGTCAGATAAATTCTATGTCAACATTAGAAAAAACATTCTTTGGAGAAGGTCAGTGCCTACTGGCTACAGACTAATAAAGAAAAAGGAGGGGGAATGTTAACCTGTAAAGCAACTCTTCTTTTCATTTTATCAGCAAACAAAGCCCAGTGTAATTTCCTGTAGGTTTTATTGGCTTTTGAAGGAAATGAATCATCACTTGCAGGGTAGCACAGCATTTTTCAGGGTAGCAACCATTCAATAAATATGAATAAATTTTCCTACTTCTATTTCTTCTTTGCTCACTGTTTCTATAAGATAAGTTAAAGCATTTGTTTTACATAAAAGAGCAGTAACCTTTTGGAAAAACTGTTAAGATGCAAGGGGAGAAAATCTAGTATTCCCACACTTTTCCTTTGAACAAGAGATGCAGGGTCATATCATTAAGTATTTGCCACTCTTAACACCATTGGGATGAAGTGAGGGCAGTGTTTAGAATGTGGCACTTCACATATCATTAGCAAGTGTTTAAACTTGGTTAATAAAATTAAGTAATTTTGACAAATTAATCCAGGAATAATAACCTTTATTATTTGTGTGTAGGAAGCCAATTAGGTATAATAATTAAGGCACTCGGCTATAAACCAGGAGATTGTAAATTCTAATCCTGCATTGGGCATAAGACTGTATGGGTGATCTTGGGCTAGTCTCTCACTCTCCTAGAAAGCAGCTACTGGCAAACCACTTTTGAAAATATTGCTAAGAAAAGTGCAGGGAACCATTCAGACAGTTAGGATCAACACTGATTCACAGACACCCCCCCCCCAAAAGAAAAGGAAATAAACTTATGATACTCTTAGCATCCCCTCCCAAGCACTGCTTGTTCAACATATGTGAAGGTGGGGTAGATGTATAATCATGTGAAAAGAAAGTACACCCTCATTGAATTCTATGGCTTAACAGAATAACAAAATTGGAAGGGACCTTGGAAGTCTTGTAATCCAACCCCCTGCTTAAGCAGGAGACCCTATACCATTTCAGACAAGTGGCTGTCCATTTTCCTCTTAAAACCCTCCAGTGATGGAGCATCCATCACTTCTGAAGGCAAGCTGTTCCACTGATTAATTGTTCTCACTGTTAGGAGATTTCTCCTTAGTTCTAGGATGCTTCTCTCTTTGATCAGTTTCCAACCATTGTTTCTTGTCTTGCCTTCTGGTACTTTGGAAAATAGGTTGAACCCCTCTTCTTTGTGGCAGCCTCTCAAATATTGAAACTACTATCATGCCTCCTGTTGAGTTTTCGGTTCGCGAGCAATTGACGAAGACGCATGGTGAAAACAATAGCTCTTTATTTCTCTCTCCTACAACCAAGCAAACAGCAAAAGGCACGCAGGCCTTTTATAGTGCTTGAAACCCGGACAGTGTGAACCAATAGGAATTTAGCCTTTTCGCGCCTTGCGCATGCGCACAAGGCTGGCGCCACTCTGTCTGGTCCCGGGCAGCTTTTGGGAATGCCCGGGACCATTTGCAACAATTCTGAGCCTGCAGTCAGCTCTTGCAGGCTCAGGACACAACACCCCTCCCCCCTAGATGAA